CTGCAAACAAAAAGGAAAGGATGACTCACATCTTGCATGAATTTGCGACAGACCGGTCTGATCTCTTTGCTTAATGTGGCACTGAACATCATGCACTGCTTCTCGTGAGGGGTCAGTCTGAAGATATCCTGGACATCCCGTCTCATATCTAATATGCAATCACACACAATTACTCCTCCGGTGAACGGGAAAAAAATCTAGCTCCGTAAACTGGCCCATACATGACAAAATCAAACCCACCTAGCTGCTCCAGCATCTTGTCGCATTCATCCAACACAAAGTGTTTGACATTTTTGAGGTTCAAGGTCTTGTTGCGAATGAGGGCAAGGATTCTTCCTGGAGTTCCCACTACAATGTGAGGGCAGTTCTTCTTCAGCACTTCCTCATCCTTCTTTATGGACAAACCTCCGAAGAAGACAGCACACTTAACGTTGGACATGTACTTGGAGAAGCGCTCGTACTCTTTACTGATCTGAAAGGCCAGTTCACGTGTGTGGCACATAACCAACACAGAAACCTGCAGAGAAGAAAATGACAAAACGGGTGAAAATTTTTGTTGAATTAACATGCATAACTACCACAAGATCTCATAATAGTCTCTATCTAAAGTAGCAGTCTGCAACAGCATAAGAAACCACTGCTGGTTATTCAAGTTCTTCAAGTGTGACGATTTAATGCTGAACAGAACTGTTTTCTGAGATCAGTGTCAAGAAAAGTTTGAAACAATGTTAGAACAGCCTAAAACATTCTAGGTTTACTGGTCAAAAGTTTGGAATTAAGAGACTTCTTTCAAAAACAAACATCTTATGCTCTGCAAGGTCGCATTTAAAACAACTCTTTTTTTTTTTATTATTGAATATATTTTAAAATGTATCTTATTCCTGTGATGCAAAGCTGAATTTTCTGCATCATTACTCCAGTCTTCCGTGTCACATGATCCTTCAGAAATCATTCTAATATGCTGATTTGCTGCTCAAGAAACATTAATTATTATCAATGTTGAAGCAGTTGTTAATGCTTAATTTTTTTGGAAATGATACAATATCACTTAATAGTTTGGGTTATGATTAAAAAAAAAGAAATTATCACTTTTATTCACCAGAGCAAGGACATAAGAATCCTGAAAAAAAAAATCAGCAGCAAAAACTGTTTGCATAACCACGTAACCATAATTATTAACTATTACCATTAATAATAACGAGTAATAATAGTGTTCATCATCTGTTTGATTACGTCTTTAATTGATTTTTCCATACATTTCTGCCATATGTACATTAACTGACAGTCACCACTGATAAGCTACTACTAAATATTGTAGAAACCTAATTTGCTGTAAAGTTGCTTTGCAACGATTTGTATCATGAAAAGCGCTATACAAATAAAATTGAATTGAATTGAACGAGTACCAATAATAATTAAGCGCCAAATCAGACTAACGGAATGATTTCTAAAGGATCATTTGACACTAAAGACTTGAGAAATGGCTGCTGGAAATTTAGCTTTGCCATCACAGGAATAAATTACAAGTAAAAAAAAATGGTTCTCTTCAATTTTTATATTTTTTCACAATATTACTTTTACTGTAATTGTACTGTACTTGCGTTTAAATTAATGTAATGACTTCAAAACTTTTGACTGTTAGTGTACAAGCTCATGCCAATTTGGTTTATACAAATAGGAAGGAAAACCATAATGTTGAGTTTGCAAGATCTAGTTTAATGAGCACACACCTGCCCATCCACTGGCTCGATCTGTTGAAGTGTGGCAAGCACAAACACGGCGGTTTTTCCCATACCAGACTTTGCCTGGCACAGGATGTCCATACCCAAGATGGCTTGTGGAATGCACTCATGCTGGACTGAGGAAAGATCATACATTTTACTACTAAACATAAAATCATGTTAATACAATTACACTGAAACCAAGACAGCATGAAATTGATTCTCCATCTGGGTCAATATATTATGTTCGCACTTTAATACTGATTTAAATTTAAAAGAACAACTAGGTACTTGGATGTTCTGATGTAACTGAATATGGTGGCTATTCATATTCACAAAGCCATTTTAAATAAATCTATACACTGCTGCTCATATAATAGATATACTCATACTAGATCAATTTTTACACAGCAGTGTACTCTAAAAACCTTAAAAACGTCATATAAATCCTCACCCTCAGAAGGATGCTCAAAGCCACAGTCGACGATCGCGCGGAGCAGCTCTGGTTTCAGGAGGAAATCACGGAAGCCGGAGCTGTGAATGGAGACGTAGGAGCCTTTCACCTCCTTCTTGCCAGCTGGGACTGCACTGTCCACAGCGGTCTGCGGCTCCTCGTCTTCCTCATAGTCCAACAGCTCATTATCAACATCGTTTTCGGCCATGGTAACTTTGGTGACAGGGAAACAAAGATGTAAAAAAAGAGAGTTATGCCAAAGATACTGATCAATATATAAACATGTTCTACTATAATATGTGACACACAACCATAAAACCACTCATTTATACATATGAAAGATGGATAAATAAGCTTTCCATTGATGTATGGTTTGTTAGGATAGGACAATATATGGCTGATATACAACTATTTGAAAAACTGGAATCTGAGGGTGCAAAACAAAATCTAAATATTGAGAAAATCACCTTTAAAGTTGTCCAAAAGAAGTCCTTAGCACTGCATACTACCAATCAAAAATTTAGTTTTGATATATTTACGTTAGGAAATTTACAAAATATCTTCATGAAGCATGATCTTTACTTAATATCCTAATGATTTTTGGCATAAAATAAAAATCGATAATTTTGACCCATACAATGTATTGTTGGATATTGCTACAAATATACCTGTGCGACTTAAGACTGGTTTTGTGGTCCAGGGTCACATAGGCAAATATAGAATCATTTACACGAAGAGAAAATGTACAGAGGCCAAAAATGCTGCTCAGTGTTTTGCAACCTAAGCCTTAACTAATGAATGGAAATTATGCAGCATTATCCAAACTCCTCGAAATTATCCATAAATCATCACTTCTATTGCTCTCTTTAAAATATTGGTCTCTGTTCGTAAATCGTACCTAGATGGTGAAAATAGTTAAAGGGCAAAAACATCCATAATACAAGTTGCTATATACATGCAACATTAAAACCAGCTCCGATTGATTTAGCCAATTGACTAACGTTACCACTCAGACAATAGAGAAGCCATTCGCTGTCCCATCGAAACCGATCTTCTGATCTAAACGGTCAAAAGCGCATTTTTCCAAAAGTACCTAGAATATATATATGACTATGAAGTCTTGTGATACACGTGCAGAATGCAATACGAGGCTGTTTGGACGCAAATCGCTTTCGTTTTCGCATCTCGGCTTTGAGCCTTTCAGGCTGCGCGGCTAGAGAAACGCGAGGTGTCTAACGTTACAACTAACGTTATGTTGTTTTTAAATACTTAAGATTCATTACTAAAATGGCCTCTAAAATAAGGTTAAATCCGGAAGTGCGTACTATTAACTATAACGTATTTAATAAATTAGAGTTATTAAAGGTACAAACAAAACAAATTACCTTTCGATGTTGGTACTGAACGTCGGCACTCGCGAATCGTGCGGGTTAGGCCTTAAGTTAATAGCGCTCCCCGGAAATAAAAACCGAACTCTCTCATTGGTTGTATTCAACGCCAATAATGGGTGAAACGCAGAGCATGCTTGCGATTGGGTAACAGTAATCCGCGTCGATGTTGTGGGCGGGTTCCAAAGCCGGTCGCCAGCCTTTATACTTCAAAGTGTCCACACGATGTCACTATATGCATTCTGATTTTAGGCCTACAATGATAAATGTGTATAAACGGTGCGACCTAAAATCGAAAACCGTATTTAAAATCTAGATCTAAACTCTAAAATCTTTGTTGTCTTGCTTGTTTCAGCATTTGTAATTACCAAGCCATGAAACACTCAGTATTAAAATAAACATCACAGAAAACAAACAGGCTCACGTAATAGATAGATAGAAGAACTGTGGCAACATCTCCAAGATGCTTCAAGAGACCTCCCTGCAAAGCTACCTAAAAAAAAAGTATGTGCAAGTGCACCGAGGGCAAAAGCTGATTTAAACGCAAAGGATGGTCACACCAAAAGTTGATTAATTAATAGTTAACTAGTTCATTTAGTTAATACACGTTAATTAATAAAGAAAATCTAGTTATGGCATTATTTGTGACAGCATCCTCATTTTACAGCATTTTTACACAAGTGCCTAAAACTTTTAACAGTACTGTAGCTTTGCAGGTTTCTTGAAGCGTCTTGGAGACGTTGCCACAGTTCTTCTGGATTGAGTCTGTCTCAGATTGTTCTGTTTCTTTATGTCGTTATTACGATTAATGTCAAAATTAAGGTTTTGAAATGTAAACTGATATTTCCTACGGACACACTACAGCAAAAGATAGAAATAACTGACTTAAAGCCATTGTAGCTGGTGAAAATACTAGTGTTCTAATCATTTGGGCTATCACTGTATATAAATAAAAGTAAAGTCTGCAAATCTATCTATCTATCTATCTATCTATCTATCTATCGTGAAATAAAGAACAATGTGGTCCACCTTCAGAAGATTAACCGGACAAAATTTTCTTAACAGTTACTCCAATCAACACCGCAACATCACCTGCCCGCTACCCACTGTGGCTGAGGTTAAGAAAAATAACGGATTGGTGGAATGAGCTGTCAATCATGACCATTCCTCTAGTTTATCCTCCTATTGGTCGTTTGTCAATCACATGAGATCTGCTGACGTTAGAACATTGCACTGTGGTTCATTTTGAACGAGACCGTCAAATAATCGGAAAACAGAAGCCAATTATGAATTGATTTTCAACGCGTATTTATTATAATCAGACAGTTTATGATTATTTATATACCAGCATTTTTATTAAATTACGGTCAAGGTAGTAGGCGGGACTTGGGCGGGGTTTTCTTTTGTAGGCGTCGACCGCAGCTCTCCTTGAGGAAGCTCGCCCTGACGACTCATATTTTCCTCCAAATGAGCATCCACATCCAATATGTCCAATATGGTTCCGTATTCATTTCCCGACTTACCGTAGTGGTCCAACGGCTTCGCACAGAAAAGGATTGTCGATAGCTGCCGGTTTTGTGACCGATCATCTTTAATATGGCAAGATCGCAGGAGCCGCTTGGGTAATGAGAACGAAATTCAGGTGGGCATTGCTCTATGCATTTTCCATCACTGCCAGTGTGTGATCGCTGGACCATTATGTGTGCACCATCCATTTGTGTACGACGTTTATTTTACCATGTTAATCAGGATGATATGACAGAGAGGCAGTCTAGGACAAAGCGGGGAAATTCCAGCGCATCGCACTCATGCTCCCATCTCTCTTAACTAGCGGCGGTGATTTGCCTGCTTGCCCATCTGCTTTGCCATGGGGAAAAATCATAATCCACACCCGTATTATTTTACACGGAAACAGATGTGATTATGACCTAATTTAAGGCACCAACATACACTGTGCTTTTAATTCAACGCAGCCTTCCTCCATTCCAAAGGCTTTTGCATTTAATGTCATAACGCTGCACAATCAAAACACTATCATAATCATATCACTAAACTCCCCTACGCAAAAAAGCAAATGTAATATGTTGCTAATAATGGATTCGTAACACCTATAGTAAGAACTGGCATCCCCCTGGTGGTACTTTTGCATGAGGGTTTGCTGAGTCCAGACTACAGGCTTTATTGTACAGTAGTAGCCTATACGAGTCCGCATCATATTCGTTGAAACAACGGTTATTGCTAATTTAGGCCTTTTTGGTCTTCTGGCTCGTTGAAAGACCTGAATGGCCTGTTATGGCTTCGTTTTATTTTCAATGTCGCGATATTAAAGCTTAAACATGCATCAAACTGTCATGGCTTTTATGCACATTTCCTTTTTGCCATTTGTCACACTGCGTTTTGTTGACATTTTGGACCAACCAAAGGAAAATACGTTTTGGTGAGCTCTTATGGGCTTTCATTTTGGTTTGTCGTGAATCACAGTTTAAGAGATTAATTATGTGGCTCTTGCCTGGGCGTACTAATGATTAAGGGCAGTCTGATTACATGTTTTGGTAGGGAGGAGAGTTTGTTTGACTGTATTTAATGAATAGACTGTGGTTTTGCTACCAGCTAAGAAAAAAGGTGTGTGGATCCCATGCTGATGTTTTATTTATTAATTTTTCTAATTATTTACTTTTTGTCTAAAAGAAGTGGATATGGTGATCATTCTTTGAAAATGATGTCATTGCAGTTGACTATTTGGCTGGTGTTAAATTGGAGCTTTATTGCTTAAAGGGATAGTTCACCCAAAAATTTTAATTCTGTCTTCATTTATGCCTTCTCATGTCATTCCAAACCTGTATGACTTTCTGTCTTCTGTTGAACATAAAAGAATATAAACTGAAGAATACTGGTAACCAAAGAGTTTCAGTTCCTATTGATTTCAATTATATAGACAAAAAATAGATGTCAAAAGGAACTGAAACCGTTTGGTTGCCATTATTCTTCAAAATATCATCTTTTATGTTCCACAAAAAAGAAAGTGATATAGGTTTGGAATGACATGAAGGTGAGTCACTGACGACAGCATTTTTATTTCTGGATGGACTATCCCTTTAACACTTTCATGTATCCATTTGTATTGGAATGTGATGTCATGCTCCGTTCCAGACATTAACGAGGTCACAAAATCTTTGTGAGCAAAATTTCTAAACCACTGTAATATCAGCCAGGCCTGATGAGGTAATAGTGACCTCATGATGATTGGGCCTAATATGCCGAAAAGGGCTCTGTTAATCTTATCTCATCACATTTATTCATGAGTTTTGTAAACAACAGTCTATATCAGGGTTCCTCAAATCTTGCCCTAGAGGGCCAATGCACTGCACACCAACCCTGATCAAACTCACCTACCTGTGATTTTCTAATGATCCTGAAGACATTGATTAGCTTGCTCAGGTGGGTTTGATTAGGGTTAGAGCAAAACTCTGCAGGAAAGTGGATCTCGTGGGCCAGATTTGAGGATCCCTGGTCTATATTTTCAGTTCAAAACTGCAAAATTTCACACACAAAAAGGCTTTTTGCGTAACTGGATATTACTTTTGGTCGGTTAACATTTCTATCCTAAAACAGATACTTACCTCACATTTACTTTTAGAACTGAAGCCTCACATTGGAATTCATGCTTTGCCACTGTAAACAGTAAAGCCACCTTCTTTGATTTGATTGGCCATCTCAAGCATTTTGACACTGACAAGCACAGTTAAGTGACACAGTTACATTACGTCTATGGTAGTTACAGCCCTGCTCTTCGTACACAATCTGACAGTTGTGAACATCTGAGAAGATTGTGATTTGCTTGAGGTCCCAGTTTAACCATTGCTGTACTGTTTTGGAGTCAGGCTAGTGTGGTAGATATTACAGTCAAGAAAAAAAAAACAAGAGATTACCTAGAAATGCATAAGATCTCTCCAGGTTCAAGTATTGGCTGGTTGGCCGTGTTGGTAGTTGTCTTTACTGCAACATTCTGTGGGAAAAAAAAGTGTCTTTCACTTTTGGCGGCCATTGAAAATCTGTGTATTGTGAGGCAATAGATAGTAATATATACATTACAAGTATTTGTAGCTATATTTGTATTTTTGCCTTTCTGCTGGTGTCTTGCGGCTGCAGAGTAATTAGTCCAATGGCATTTACAGCTTGGGTGATTGCCGCACAATTTTCCAGAATTTGGCACCCATGAGCGAAGACAGCACATACTTCCCAGGGTTCTGCGCCATTTAGGAAATGTGGAAATATTAACAGATTTTTCCATGTACCTTAAAACTATGGATTTGCAATTGTATAAATAAATAGTGGACATTGCTTTTGTTCTAAGGGCTGCACTTTAGTCTTTTTTTTTTTTTTTAAATGACGTCAAAATAAACATATTTACGGGTGTGGTAGACTGGTCATGTGAAATGAAAATGTTTAACTGATAAGGTTGCTGTTGTGTTTTCATCAAGACAAACAAGACGTTATGTAGTTCACATGCCCAAGAGAGCCAGAGAGAAAGCCATTATCCACCCTTTGCAACCTCTTTTACTCGCTGTATCTCTCTTTTCCTTTCTGTATCTGTGTTTAAGTGTTCTGGCATTGTCACACTTTCTCTTGGTTTATAGCTGCTGGCTAACTCCACGTCATCATTTCAAACAGCACAAGGCAACTTTCTACATTGTTTGCAATTTAGCCAACATGGCAGTTATCTTGTGAAGGATGAAGTGCTGTAAATGAATTTCATGATGACTTTGGAGGGTTTGAGTTCAGGACATTATTGAATTTTTTTGTAGCACGTTTTAGCTATTATCTCAAAATATCAGGGAAAATTTGATTGATGACCCCTTTAATTGACCTTGCGACAGTTTAACTAATTATTACTCTTTTATATGTCTTTGTGTTCAGGTCAATCTTTCTGAAGTGTCGACTGTCCAACTTCTTGACACACTGAAAAAACAATTGGTGTAGAAGCAGTTTGCACTCAGAAATTGCTTGTAAATTTGACAGCTGAGTACAAAGAAATGGCAAGTAACACAATAAATTGAGCGTGAAGTTTTCAAAGACTGAAATAGGATTTTCTTGTAAAACATACTTCAATAATCTGCAATAATACAAGTTTGAAAAATCATTTTACAGTGCCCTTGGGTACATTTTGTCTTACCTTTATATTTAGTGTTTCAGTAACAACCTGATAAAAAAGCTTGTGCTTTCTTATAATAAACTGCATTTGAAATAATTTAGCCAACTTGGAACAAGTAGACCTGCCCTTGAAAAGCTATGGTCGTGGTTAAGTCATTGCTGTCATAAGGTCAATTGAGAATATATGCTAATAATACTACCTTATACTAACTAATGTAAACATGGCTGGCTCCTGAGAGTGACACTTTATCAGGGTCTCTGAATATGAATAATCTGTTTTCTCATTTTGTGGACCGATGTGCCAAGCGAGCCCTCATGATCTTTTTAGCCTCACCTGGTAAGCCATTAGTTATGTTTATGCAATATTGTCCCTCCTTGTTTTCTCAAACCACTTAACGCAATGAAACATTTGTGCAACAGAGAACACATGTAATGCAATTCTTCCTCCAATTATTCCAGTGATTGATCATTTATGCCTAGATTAACTGATCATATTGATGATCATATTTAAGATACTTGATTGTTCACCCTAAATTACCATGTGAGCTTTTCAGTCAAGTCTGTGAGTGAGTCATTAGCTGTCTTTGTGAAGGGCAGTTATGGTGAAGAGGGTGTGTTCGTGTCTCTACGAGCTCAATGATCGTGGAATGTCACACAGGGCAGAGGAGCTCCATGATGAAGCTAAAGCTATTGTGTGATGTTCGAGTCATACAGAAGAAGTGGTCCATGCCTATGATGCATGACGTGGTTTGTTCTAAGATGACTTTGTTTAGAGCTGTGTGTGTGTGTTTGTGTATTTAGGTGTGTTTTTGTGTGTATGTCTGCCTGCCTGTGTTACTGATCATGTTAACTTTAAGTTGACACAGAATTAGTGCTGTCAAACGATTAATCGCGATTAATCGCATCCAATATAAACGTTTTTGTTTGCATAATATATGTGTGTATGTATATATACAAAAAGTATTACACTTTACACAAAAATATTACACAGCACAGCTGTTTTCAATGATTTCTGAAAGATCATGTGACACTGAAGACTGGAGTAATGGCTGCTGAAAATTTAGCTTACCATAAATTACATTTTAAATAGTGCTGTCAAACGATTAATCGCGATTAATCACATCCGATAAAAGTTTTTCTTTACATAATATATGTATGTGTACTGTGTTTATTTATTATGTGTATATACTGTAAATACACACACACATTCATTATATATTTTGAAAATATTTACATGTATATAAATGTATATTTTTGTATTATTATATTTTATATTATTATATATAATTCTATTATATATAAATATATTTAATATATAAACATAACGTAACATTCTTAAATATATACATGCACTTGTTGGTATTTATATATACATAATAAATATACACAGCACACACTCGTATATCATGTAAACAAAACTTTTATTTTGGATGCGATTAATCGCGATTAATCATTTGACAGCACTAGAAGGGATATTTTAATTTCCACTTT